GTAATACTCCATTGTATAAAAATAGCACATCTTTTTTATCTTATTTTAAAGGAAAATTTTTCCTCTGATTGATGCAATCACAGAAGCAGACATAAATGTGCAAGCTTTAGAAGATTATTTTATTTTAAATATTGTTAAGAAAATTTTATTTAACAGCAAATTTTACTCAAAGTTGACAACTGGCAAAAACAATTTTTACCATTTGAGCAATAATTTATGCGCCTTTGTGCATTTGCCAACTCAGTGAGAAGCCATATAGTCCCAGCCCCAGGTTGTCCATAAAAGGCAATCCTTACCTGTCCCAGATTCTGTAACAATTACATTGATGTGAAATGTCATGAAAAGTCCAGAACGATTGATTTGGAAGACTTTTGTGTTCACAGTTTGAGAAACACAGCCATTTCCAAGCTGAAAAAAAAGAAAAAGTGTAATTGAAAAGTAAAGAATCCAACAGTTTTTTTGAAAATACCAAGATTTAGCACAGGTTTATAGCACCCCTCTGCCATGGCTCCATCTCATAACATTGTTGACAGGACTAAAACAAGCATTAAGAGAGAAAGAGGGAAAGGAGGAGGAAATACACGTCAGCAGTGCATCGAACAAGATGGCGGACATGATCTACATTTTACATATGGTCAAGTTTTCTTGGAAACAGTGTAGAAGGGCAGAGACAACAGAGCGTTGAAAACAAGTAGAGTTCAGTGGTTTTAAAAGAAATTAAAACCATTTTGATAAGCACAAAAAAATTCAGAAGTGATCTTTAAATATGTAACATCAAAATAGGCTCTTTAAAAGGTCAACTGATTCTTTAAAATAAAGAAAGTATCTGTAATCTTCCATTAGTAGCACGAACAATCAGAAACATATAGACTTAGCTAGATTTGAAAAAGTACTACTTTTGAATCTTCAAAGTTAAAAGGACATATCCATTTATTTGATTTTTCAAAACCATCATATGTTCTGGGCACCATTATCATGCGCATTGTAAGGATGGATAAACAAGAGCAGAAGTACATTATCTAACCTATGTGAGGTCACGCAGCTTAAAGGTGCTGCAACTAACTAGGTGTTTCAGTGCCAGAGTATGTTCTCCTCTGAACTGTGAACTATTACCCTAATAGCATAGAAAACAATTCTACTTTAATCATAACAAAATCAAATTATAATGAAGTGATAAAAAGCAACCAGAAGAACATTAAAGACTTGAAATCTAGAGAAAAAGTAGTTTTCAATAATCCTTAAATCAAGCAGAAAAATATCTGTTAAAATATTAAAATATAGATATTAGGATAAAGGGAAAATTCCTCATATCAAATGATGTTAAGCTCTAGTTAGAGATAATGTAGAATACTGAATGTGTTCATTGCTACATAAAATCACCAGCATAGTTGGTACTGCATCCATAGGGGCATAACCATGGTCTTAGCCAACCATGGGCAGAGAACATTGAGGAAATGACTGCATCTATACCAAGAAGAAATGAATTTTTTCCTATTCTTTAAGCAATTAACTATAACAACTATTTCCATCACATTTATATTAGGTAAATAAATAATATAGTGATAAAGTACACTGAACGATATGCATCAATGACAGGCAAATCAATGTCATTTTATATAAGAGAGTTAAATGTGCACAGAATTTCTTATCTATGGGGACTCTAGGCCCAACCCCAAAGATACCAAAGAATGACTGCATATTTAAAAACAAATTGACCACACATATTAGGAAAAAGAATTAATCAAATGAAAGATAGAATAAATGATTTATGCACAGAAAAGTAATCAAAGAAAGATAATTATAAAACATAATACAATAGATGAACCTTTTATAAGCATGATTTAGAATACAGAGGGAGAGCAAAATCACATAAGATAGTGTTAACAGAACCCAATATCTGTCTGGAAGAAAAATTTTCTTATTTTAGAAATTATAAAAAATTAACTGTTTTTTTACTCGAGAAATTTGACCTTAAAGCACACTTAGAAGTTACATGTAAGAAGGAGAGAGAGAGAGAGAGAAAGAGAGAAAGAGAGAGGAGAGGGACAGAGGCAGGGACAGAGATAGAGACAGAGAGACAGAGAGACAGAGAGACAGACACAGACACAGACAGACATTTTCAAGTCTAAAGTATAGATATACTATATTGTAGATACAGAAATATAGATATAGATGATGTCAATTGCAGGTATTTGCAAATAAATTATTTTTAAAAGGAAAATTCTAGTTTGTATGGTGAGTAATATTGTAGGTTCATTTCTCTAAAGAATGACTAATGCTTTTCCAAAGAAAGATTAGAAAGACCACCTAGACCGTATGTAAACAAGATCTTCTGCAAGTTGGAAATTCCAGGTGAATCACAATGAAAAATATTATTTTAAACATTGTATTTTGTCATTTCTTTACCTTGATTACTTGAAACCCCCATTACCCACAAAATGAAAATAGTATTAAGTTCTTTTTATAAATGTAATCAAAGAATGAATAAAAACAACATATGAGTGAGTCTTTTTATAAGCAAAGATCATGGTTTGTACCTGAGCAACAAACTGCTCACATATTTCATTGACACCTTCCTCACAGCTCCTAGAAGACAGTAATTCTCGGCATACTCGGATTTGGGCTTTTCCGTGTACAGAGCCACCGTAGGTGTACCTAGTGGGCAAAGGTATGTTTATGATTACAGGGGAATGGTATCACAGCAAGACACAGTACACACATATAAAACTAGTTGTAACATTTTATCCAGCAGAAAACATGGCTATGAGAGTAAAGATTGAATGTTTCATGATCTTGAACAATTTCCAGAGCAATATTTTAAACAAAATTCTCATTTAGCCACCACTCAACAAGTCTAAAAAGTAGGGGGATTGACTTAAGTTGGATATATTTGATTAAATGTGGAACCAAATATCTCATTTTCTTGTAAAACAAAGCATCTATATGTAAGTGCAAGTTTTGTTTTAAAAGTTCAATAAAAGAAAATTTCAGAGATTGAGTGTTTTTTAAACTTGATTCTTTCCACTTACATTTAGGAAAATAGACAGCGAATGTTAAAGTGGTTATAATAAAACTAAAAATCATTAAAATAATAGATTATGATACCTCTTCTAATTGTTGAACAGTGAAATATAGATTACATGCTTACCCATTTTATTTCATTTATTTTCTGGGTGACCTTGACTAGTAAATAGAGATCAAGTCACCAACTTTTCCACATTGTAATTGGTGGAACTAAAATTATTCAGATTAATTTTGTCCTATTGTCCTTGCTCCTTTCATTCTACTGAACTGTTTCTGCTTCTACTTAGTTTATGCTTTTGAGATTTTGACTTACTCTAACTCACTTAAACCTTTCTTTCAATTACATGTGAAATACAAAATATACTGATTGAATAAAAAATTCAGTTTATTCATGGAATAAAAAATACACAGTTTCTCTTATTTCTTGTGTTTTAATTGTGATAAAAAAAGGAAAACTCTTACTGTAGTATTACCTCCAGGTTAATATATGTCCCTGAATCATGAAGTCCACATCCTCAGAGAGGAAAAACTCACCCTCTCCCTTGTGACTTGAAAGCTTTTTTATTTATTAAAATCTCTTTGCCTCTAGGAAAGTTTTCTTTCTTAAAAGCCTAATTCATTTCTGAGTTGGTTCCCTAAAATGCTATTATTGTTGGTTTTTTCTAGTTGTCCCAAACTAAATCTCAGGACATACCAAATAAAAAATATGCAGCTAACACAGATTACTCAAGTTAAGCGGGGGCAACTCTTCCACAGTGTTCATAACTAGACACACAGATTTCATTCCTCGGGCTCCCAGCCTGCTTGCCAGTGCTACTGCAGTAGGTACAGCTCTTGCCAACCTGCCCAGTCAAACTGCAGGGCAGGATTTGCTGGTTTACTTCTTATATTGTTGATTTATTATTTATTGTCATATCTTTCTTAAAGATAATGTTAAAAAGTTTCAAGAAGTCATAGTAGCATGTGTTTTGCACCAGCAATACTGGACAAACCTTTTGGTCTTCCTGATCCATGCATTGTGCTTTCTTAGCTCACCACTCAGTGAATAAATAAATTATAGATATTAATGACGTCAAAATTTTTGGATTTGCATAGTATTAGTCTAGTGTTGCACTTAAGGATCTTGGATTTCTTGGAGGTTATACACACACACACACACACACACACACACATATATATATATATATATATACTATCTCATCATTGGAGGTTGATATATATCTCGGATGTTTTATATATATATATATATATATATATATATATATATATATACACACTATCTCATCATTTAAATATAGCTAACCAATAACCTCACATATACTAAATTCTGGGCACATACTCAATTGTTCTGCATTGAAATATAGAAATTTGCTCATTTTCTAGTGTCCAAAGATTTTTTTTGTTTTTTGTTTTTTTTTTGGTTTTTCTCCGGTACCGGGAACCGAACTCACGACCTTGCGCTTGCCAGGCAGGCGCTTTGCCGCTGAGCTAAATCCCCAGCCCCCAAAGATTTTAAATATTACCAAATCATGGAATAAATGTCAGTTCCAAACATTTGAAATTTAAAAAAAATGTCATTTATATATGTTTGCTGTTAATTTAGTTTACAATTGTCTTGGGGAATGTTTACAGGTACATATCACTTTTTGGGTGTAGCCTTTACCAATGTGTGTTTAATATACTGCTAAAATATTCAAAGGTTAGGAGTCTTATGGCATCAATTAAATAAAATGCTTGAAAAATATGGAAAATATCAATAGTTTTAAGAGTTTAATTAACTGCAACATTAGTGCTCAAGACAAACAGCCCAGCTGTAAATCCCAGATCTACCATCAAAAATCATTGTTAATGTTGATAAGTTATCCCAATTTTCTGCTTTACTATCTTTATCAGATTGAAGTGATACTATCTCATTTCATAGCATTGTAGTGAGTATATACATAGTTGTTAACAGAGTAATTGGGATGAAATAAATATTAGCTGTTTGTCATCATTATTAGAAATTTGAAAAAGAATCACAAAAAGAGATAAAAAGCATTAGAACTAACTTCTCAAAAAGAAAATAAAAATTTTTCAACTCATTTGTTTCTTTATATTATGAAAACTCAAATGAGTTCAAATTAAAGTACATTCTTATGTCACTACGATACCATTGATATATGATTTTCTTCTTTAAAGTAGAGTACTCAATGATGATTTAGTTTAAATGAGGTTGGTACCTTTATACTAATTGTTGGAATTGTACATTGGCATAATATAATCGCTGAGCAAAACGGCAATCAAAAGACTAAAAAAAGGTAAAGTTTTTTCTTTATAACTCTTTTTCTAGAATTCTAATCTAAAGAAACATTGATATACATTGAGACCAAAATGTATATACTAAAAAAGTATTAATTACTAGGGAAACAAAATAGAAGATTACATATTACATAGTAAAATAATAATTAAATGACATCTGGTATAATTATATAAAGAGGTTTATGCAGTAAAGAACTGGAACAAATGAAAAGACTACCACAATATGGTTTTCCTAAATATTGTGGTTAGAAAAGTATTATTGCAGTCTTGAAAAATATTCATAAAAAGTTAGAGGATAATAATCACAATGTTAATGGCAGTAAAAAAATAAATCACAACGGTAGAAATAAAAAATGTTAATGGCAGTAAAAAAATAAATCACAATGCAGAAAATAAATCACAATGTTAATGGTAATGGAATTAATTATAGCTCATTGTGTGGTTTTCCTTTATAATTTTTGAAATATTCAAAAATTCTCTAAATATTTTAATGTAAATAAAGTGTTATTATTTCTGAGCTTTGTGTTTACACGTGGGGAAAATTTGAATAAATGCTTACTTAGCGCATGCATCCACTTGGAATTCATCATCTGAAATAGTTATTGTTTGTGGCGCACTGACCTTCACTTCAAACTTGGGCAACACTGAAAACAAAGAGAAATCTACTTTCAACTTACGGCAGTCACATAGCTACATCTGCTTTTGTGCCCAGTGTTCCCCTCCAGGTGCACTTGTGATGGCTGCTTCAATCACCCCAATTCCGGGAGTGCCACTGCTCCTCTACCGTACAGGATAATGTCTCATAAAAGATTATTTTTTTCTCTTTTATTTTTCTTTCTTTTGTTCTCTGACCTTCACCTTATTTTTCTGTTTTAATCACATAGATTGTTTCTAGGACACTGTCTGGATTCTAGGAAATGGGATGTCTCCTAGGGCAAAAGCAAGGATCGGAAAAAAGACATGGGGCAAGGAGTGATGAGCAAGAAAGGTTTGATGAGACCCCAGAAAAGGGCAAGAAAGAAGACCTCAGAAAATCAAATCAAGTTTCACTATTTTTACTTATGCTCAGCATAAAGGTTTTGTTCAGTTAGTCTGAACTCACGATATAGGACAACCAAAAAATAGTGCATTGGTTACCATCTTTATTAACAGTAAATTGATGTGCCCATGTCTGTCCTGATTTTTCTTCCACAACAATTGTATAATCCCCAAACATTGGTTCTGAACTCAGTTGAAATGAGAGCTGGGTAATATTTTGGAAAGAAGTCACATTTTTCCACTGAAAAATCACATTGTTTTGAGGGTCCTAGAAAATAAAGACAACTAGAGATTAGATTTTAGTAGTATCTTTTCCGTCTTTGTTTTGGCATTTTCTATGGCTGTTGGGAGGAAAGAACATGTTACCGTTATATCGAACTCATTGGTTCAAATCATCAGAACAATATAACTTGCTCATTGTATTCAAATTCAGTCTTAAAGTATATCTCTCCTGCGACCAAAGATGATAAGAAAAAATAACTTATGTGATGATTTATAACTGAAATTTATTATTTATAAATAATTTATAGCTGATTTTGATTTTTATGAACCACAGTTACATAATAAAAAAATTGAAAACTCAATGTGTTTGTGTGTTTGCCTCAAAGTTGTGTTCCCCAAATTAAAATGGACTTATACCAACAGGTGCAAAGGAAATACTCATCCTAATAATGCTTACCAAAACTGATACAGATTTTTACTTGGTCTCTATCTAAGATGGTCATGGGTTATGCACGGCATGCAAAATCTGCTACATGGAAGCTCTCTGATACGAAAAGGTTAGAACACTATGTTTTTCACTTCAGTTTCTTTGAACAGATATCTCCCACATTCTGAGCCTGACTTAATAATTTTATACCATCTAATTCTGATAAATCCTTTTAAAAGATTTCCATAAAGAAAATGTTCTATTATAAAAACCCATTATTGTGTATAATTAATATTCACTAGTGTCAAAAAGAAACAAATCTATTATTTATTTTTAAATAATTTCTCAGGTTTAGGGTTACCCATGTGAGCAAGTGCTATCAATTAAATGTAGCAAAAGTCACTGGGTGGAAATTCTCTTTACAGGAATCAGACTCAGTTGGCATTAAAAGCAAACAAGCAACGTGTTGAAGATGGCAGAGAGGTCACACAGAAGCCTGGATACTTGGTAATATTTTGCAGTTTTAACTCTACGTGTCTAAATTTAGGCTTTGCGGTTTGTGAAAATGATAAACACTTTGCTCATTTAAGCCAGTGTTAGTTTTCGGTTGCTTGCCGTGTGACACAGCATTTGCTGGGTCCAGAGGTGAAGATAATACAATTTGTGGATTAGTGGTAATGCAGAAATATGGACCTGCCTCCCTGAGATTTAGTTTATTATAAAGATAAGCTATCTGCTACCCATATAAAGTTGAAAACATTTGAATCATGAAGAAGATAAATTAAAGTCTATATCTGCACCATTAATTAACCTTCAGAATTGGCTAATAATAACGGCACACATTGTAGTAGAGAATAACATATGTATGTTGGAGTTGATTGATGCAACTTGCTTATTGATAGGCATACAACTTTGAATATCTCTGAAGGCCACACTACTCTAGAGAATGAAGCTCGTTAAAGGAGACTGCTAATTCTGAAAACAGAATCCATTTTATAATGAGTGATGTCACCTTGTAGTGTATTTCTACATTTTAAAATGTCTGAGATTTCTATTTCTTTTAAAAGAAGATATGGTTTATTTAAGATGGAGAGGGACCAGCAGCCAAAACTAAGAAATTTCAAAAATAAATCTGCCTTAGAATATAATATTTTATGTTCCATAAAAATCAAATTATTGCATTTGCCCCACAGCCTACAATAAATTCAACAACTTTCATTGAGCTCTTCACCTGATGCCTACACCTGTATACATACAAAGACATCTCTTTCCCCTATCTCAGTCATCTTAATTTCTAAGGGTACAAAATGAAATTTAAACAGCTCATTGTTTAAATATTTTAAAGGGTGGGTGTGTAAAGCAGATCTCTTACCTGAAGTGTGATTGAAGGATACTGAAAAAGAAAAATGAAGATCAGTAGTTTGAAAGTAGTGTATAATTTTGCCAAGTATTCACTATCTCATGTAGATCACACCTATTGGCATTAGTTCTCACTTCCCCAAGGAATAAAGTTTCTGTAGTGAAAGATACCAAAGAGACTCTAAGTGTGAAAGAAACCCCCAACCTCTTCTGAGATGTGGAAAACAAGTTCCATGCAAACCATAGTTTCTTTATTTGCTGAAAATATCTAAAGAAATGTAAATCCATTCAGTATAAGTGAAAATTTTACATTTTACCTGAGGTTAGCATAATATTCTACCTTGGAACCTTAGATAGAAAGCTCCTTGAAGACGTTTTGTCTAGGAATGGATTTTTTGTTTAGTACTTTTACACTTTACTGTACCATTAGAAATTATGTAACTCACCAAATCCTCCACAGGTTTGAACTGAGTATCCAATGTCACAGTGCGATAGTTAACTAAAAGAGAGAAGGGAATGATGCTTTTCTTATTTTCTTTCAGATATTGATTGTAAGTAGATACAGCAATTAATTGCCACACTGTCACAGAATACTAAGCTTCTTTTTTCCTTTGATTTCATTTGACCTTTTGAGATTGGGCTCCCCAGGAAAGATCGCTTATGCACAGTTGTGGTCCCTCTGTCAGTGAGTTTTGCTATTAGGGATTGACAATAGGCACCACCAGAAGCTTTGCCCCAACGGCCCATGGGAATGTCTTCAGGTGTGGTAACAGAACTAGTGATGATAGAAGGATAACTGTGAAATGTTTATGATGAAATATAAACATAATTTTCCTAGAAAAATATATTGATATAACAAAACAATTTTAGCAGCATTACAAAAGAGATAGTTTAGCTCTTTTTGTATATCTATATATCTATACCTATATCTCTATTTATTCATAGCAACATTTTTGTAAGTCCAGAAGAAGGGGTACAATGCATCTAAATAGTACTCTAAGAATTAGCTTTTAATTTCTTTTCAATAAATCTTATAAATATGTGCTATCAAGGAAGACAAAATGTATAGATGACTTCTTCTGACTCTTTAATTTACAGGTGACATAATTAAGTATCAAGTATTAAGACCAGAATTTACTTGGCAAAACCCAGTAGCAGAGAGCCATCATAAAAACCAAACCCTTTTGAATCCAAGGTTGGTGCTACTTTTATTTACAAAAATAATAAGTAGAATAGAAACACTTTGCATAGATTATCAAGTGTATGGTTCTATCTACAAGCATGAATAATAATGATGACAATCATAAATATTATTTGTGAGATATTTACTGTATACTAGGCACTATTGTACATTGGCTGTTTATTTCATTGTTGCTATATTTGTGTAAGGGAGAAACTTTCATTATCTGTTCTGTACATATAAAACAATACAGACCACAGAAGAGAGTTAATTAATTGTGCAGCTCGCAAAATATGCAACAATTATTCAGACTCAACAGTTATGTTCCACTTTCCATGCTGGTGATCATTGCATTATGGAGGCTTGTCACTGGGATTTGTATGCAGTGAAAGAGGTGGGCAATATGTTATGAAGCAAAGCAAAAGAAAAGTAGAAGAAGTCAGAATATTATCTCACTCTTCTCTCCAGGTTTATAGATGGGTTTGTCAGTCTGCACAAAAGTTACTGTCTCTTCTGTAGTGATGGCTACAGATCTTCTCTCAAAGATTGTAAGAGTATTTCCCTTCACCCACAATGTGATAAAAGCCAACTGTTCAGAGGACTTCTGGGAGACCTGTGTATGCAGAAAGCAGAGCATAGAAAAAAAATAACAATGTCTTAATTTGGCTTGTCAGGCAGAGAGAGCCTTATAAACTCATTATTTCCTAAGGAAAATTTGATCATCATAGTTACAATTGTTTAATTTATTGAGAGGATGTAATTTATGTTTATGTCTTCTTCCTTTCTATCTCTGTTTCATGATTGTTGTTCCTCTGAATCCAAACCTTTCCTCTCTTCACCTAAATTGGTTTTCCTCATACTGTGAAATATTTTTACTATTTAAATGCAGGAATAATTCATAATCACTTCCTAATATACAAGAGTGGTAATACTTCATAAGTTTTGTTTCATATAGAAATTCTCTTTTTATCTTTTGCCCCTCTAGAATTCCTAATTTCTTCTCTATCTTCCACAAGTCATCCAAACTCAAGATTTGAAATCTGAAAACAATTTTAAGCAATGCTTTCACGCTTCCATCTGCAGTCTTTTTTTTTTTTTTTTGGTTTTTCTCCGGTACCGGGAACCGAACTCACGACCTTGCACTTGCCAGGCAGGCGCTTTTGCTGCTGAGCTAAATCCCCAGCCCCCCATCTGCAGTCTTGAACATTAAATTCAGTGCCTTACCTTGAAATGTGCACAGGAATAGAAGGTATCCTCTTCCACGGACAGATCAAAAATAGTAGTATTAGATCCATTGTATTCTAAGACAACATTCAAGGATACAGATTCATTAAGGTTTAAAAGGTGGAGACAAACTTTTTCCATGGAGTGACACTGCACCACAGAGGAGACCCATAGGATGTATTGGCTGTACAAAGAAAGCATCCAACACTCTGTGAACAGGCTTAGGAGAAATGAAGAACATCCACAACAAGCAGTTTTAGCAATTGAAGTATTCCTAAAACATATACATTTTCATAGGTAAAGTTAAATAATCTTAGGCAAGCACAGAGAGTGATATCTTATGGAGAGATATTCATTCTCTTCACCTTTGCTTAAAATTCATAGGGCAAACAAGCACTCAGACTAAGAAGTTGAAACAGTAAAATATAACCATATTTAACATGGAGTATTTTCAATAAAGTCATATTGCTAGAACTTTAATATAAAAAGAGTGTAATTCTCCCTTACGGGTTTGAGGCCACAGCCGCAGTGAAATGAAGCAAAAAGGTACATAGCAAAACAGAAGACATCATTCTATCCCAGTGGCTGAACACTAGCAAAATTATGCTGTGCTCCCTTTTTCTCTTATTAGAAACCAGCTACCTCTCCCTGCATTTTTCTCTTTCTATTCTACCTCTCTCTCTACCTTCTTGCTTTTATAATTACACTCAAAGGTCAATTACTTTTTGGACAAATACCCTGGGACCCACCAATCACATTTAGGTCACCTCTCCTCTTACTTCTCCAGGGGGTTAGACCTTTGTCTAAAATTTCCTGCTTAATTTTACTGGATGCTGCTCTGTTTTGGAATCAGCAGCACAAGTTAGACAGGAAGAAAGAGAAAAACAAAGTAGTTATGTGACACTTAAGGGTTCAAACTCTTTTAGAACCTCACTCACAGGACTGACTGCGTTATCACAAGTGTTATGCATAAGAATTAGGAAAACACTTCTCTAAAGATCTGATAAAGACCTGTTACCATACCACTTGCCAAAAGGTAAAATTTTTAGGCTTCTGAGAGAAGAGGTATTATTGATGTTGCCAAAATATGATGCAAACACATATGTCAATATGAGATCATTTTACAGGTGATTGAAACTGTCAAGTTATTCTTTTATAATATCATAATGCAGAATTCAATACTTAAAATGTTTATCTACATTCAATTTTTAATAGGATTTCTTAGGGAGGTACTATGCTCAACTTTCCAACATAGTGATTAATGAAAAGAAAGAAAAGGTCACATACACACACACCCACACACCCATACACATACACACACACCACTTCCTTGGAAAAGAAAAGTGCTTCATAATAATTTTTTACTTGGAAACAGTGTGTTAATTATCCCATTTGATCTCTTTTCATTTTGCTTTTTTGGAAACTGCCAAAGACAAGCACATTTGAGGGATTCATCATCATTAGATTACCCTACAAAAAATACTAAAGGAACCCTATTTCTAAAAGAGAAAGGCCAATGAGCACCATCATGAAAGCATATGAAGGAATAAAACTCACTGGTAGAGAGTATACACAAATGAGGGCCAGAAATATAGCTCAGTGGCCCAAGCTCCTGTCTGGCAAGTGTAAGGTCCTGAGTTAGATTCCCAGTACCAAAAAAGAAAAGAAGGATTAAAAAAAGAATATATGTAAATGAAAAAGAGAGATAATCAAGCCCTGTCATTATACAAAGCACCCAGGCCACAAAGATAAAGAAAAAAGAGCAAGAGGAAAAGGAATAAACAATATGAAAAGTGATAAAAAATTTCACAAAATTCCAGGAGTAAATTCTTACTTATCAATGATAAGGAATATAAACAGATAAAGAGTGACTGAATAGGTAAATAACAAGACCGAATTGTATGTTGCCTACAAAAACTTCACCAGTAAAAAATGCACATAGGTAAAGATGAAGTGTTGAGAAAATAGCACACAAATACAAAGCAAAAGAAAACAGATGTAATGATACTTCTTTCAGATGAAATAGGCTGTAGGTCAAAAACTACAAAAAGACACAAAAAGGACATCAACTCAAAAACAAAAAAGAATATAGATACACATATATGCACCCAATTCCACAGCACCCAATTTTATAAAACAAATATTAGATATAAAGATAGACTCAAATACAGTAATAGTTGGGGATTTCAACTCTTTGCATTCATCAGTGTGCAGGCTATTTAGAAGAAAAACAACAAGAAATATTGAAGTTAAACTGTAGACACAATGACCCTAACAGGCATTCACAAAATATTTCACCCCAAAGTTTCAGAATTCATTCTTCCTATATGCACATGGAACATTCTCCAGATAGATCAAATGTTAGCTCACAAAATGAGCTCGAGCTCAAAAATTAAAATGACATTAAAATATAAAAAATGAAGATAATGTAATATCCCTGACCATAATAGAATGAGGCTAGAAACAAATATGATGAACTTTAAAATGTATAAATGTAGGAACAATAAATGGCATACTATGAATTACAGCATACTGAATTAATGAAGAAATAAAAAATACTTGAAGACTTTTTGAAACAAATGAAAACAAGACACAATGTACAAAAACCTATTAAGTACAGAAACTATTAAGTACTAAGAAGAAAGTTTATGGAAATAAAAAATTATCACTACATCAGAAAAAGAGAGGTTAAGAATAATGGTACACACCTGTACTCCCAGCACTCCAGGAGGCTGTGGGAATAGGATTGTAAGTTTAGGCCCAGCCTGGAAACCTTAGTGAGAACCTGCTTCAAAAATGAAAAATTAAAAAGGGCTGGCGATGTAGGCCAGTGCGAAGGCCTTGGGTTCAATTTCCAGCACTGAGAGAGAAAGAAAACTAGAAAAATAAGTGCAAACTAAATCCAAAATTAGTAGAAGGAAAGAAATGATAAAGATCATAGCAAAGATAAATTCAATAAAGACCAAACAAACAATATTAAAGATCAAGGAAACAGTTATTTTTAAAAAGATAAGTAAAATTAACAATCTTTAGCCAAGCTAGTTTTTTAAAAAGAATAAAAACATAAGTAAGATCAGAAATGAAGCAAGAGATATTATTGGTAACACAGAAATTCAAAGGATCATTACAGACTATAATGAACAAATATGCCCCCAAAATTTAAAAATCCAAGATAGATGGATAAATTTCTCCACACATATAACATTTTGGACCATACGTTGGACCACATAAACACAATAAAAGACTAATAAAAATAATGAGGCTAAATCAATAATAAAAAACCTTCCAAACAAAGACAGTACCAGGATTTGATGGTCTCATTGCTAAATTATTCAAGACACTTTTAAAAGACACAATACAAATCTTCTCAAATTATTCCAAAAGGTGAAAAAGAAGACTCTGCCAAAATAATCCTATGAAGTCAACATTGCCCTGTTGTCAAAACCAGGCACAGGCGTAACAATAAGGGAAAACTGCAGACCAGAATCCCTGATGCATATTGATGTAAAACTTCTCAGCAAAATATTAGGAAGCCAAATCCAGCAATACAGGAGATAGAATACAGCACATATTCAAATAGCATTGCCTTTAGGTATGCAAGTAAATTTCAATCTGCAAAAATCAACTCATATACTACAACATGTCAACAGACTGGAGACAGAAACTATATAATCATCTCAATAGATACAGAAAAAGCATTTAATGAAGTTCAGCATCCTTCATGATTAAATCCCTGAATAAATTAGAAATAGAAGGTTTATGCCTCAACATAAAAGACTACATATTACAAACCCATAGTCACTATCATTCCAAATGGAGAAAATCTGGAAGTATTTCCTCTAAGATCGAGAACAAAGCACAAATAATCTACTTTCACCACTCCTATTCAACATAATATGGGATGTCTTAATCAGAACAATTAGTGAAGAGAAAGAAGGAAAAGAAGTCTAACTTGGAAAAGAAAGTGTATTATTTCTGTGTGCTGATGACATGATCTTACATATAGCAAAACCTAGACTTCACCATAACACTGTTAGAAAGAAAGAAATTTGGTAATGTTGCAAGTGGAACATGATTGTAGAAAAGGCAGTAACATTTCAATACAGCAATAATAAACTGACTAAAAAAAATTAAAAATACTATCATTCACAATATCCATAATAGATTACCTAGGAATATTGTAGTTAAGCAAATAGAAAATATCTGCAATGAAAATTATAAAGCACTGATAAGGCACATGGAAGGAGGAAATTCTACTTTTCATAAGTTGGGGTACCTGTGAAAATGTCTATATATCCAAAGTGATATTCAGATTTATTGTAATTCACTGTAATTCCCATCAAACAACTAATGATGTTTTTCAATAAACTACCAATAAATACACTCATAGGCTAACAGAACAGAATAAGAAGCCCAGAAATTCATCTGTGTGTTTACAACCAAACAATTTTTGACAATGGTGCCAAGAACATACATTGGAGAAAGGACAAACTTTTGGGAAAACTGGACACTCATATGCAGAGGGATAAAACTAGGCCCTTATTATTTACAATATTAAAAAATCAACTTAAAATGAATCACAGATCTAAATGTAAGATCCCAAACCATGAAACAACTAGAAAAAGTAAAGAAACACTTCAAAACATTGGGATAATCAAACATTCTTTTGACAAGACCTCAAAAGCACAGGTAACAAGAAATAGACAACAAGAAACTTCCTCACAGCAAAGGAAACAATCAACAGAGTCAAGAGACAGCCTGAAGAATGGGAGGACATTTTTAATAAACTATTCTCCTGACAGGAGATTAATATCCAAAATATATTATAAACTTGACAACAACAAGATTAAACAATTTAGTTTTAGAAAATGCACCAATGGCATGAATGGACAGACATCTCTTCAGTGAACACCTACAAATAGTACTTGAAAAAAACTCATCAGTATCACTGATCATAATAGACATGTAGTGAGATAGCATCACAGTGAAATATTACCTCACCACAGTTGGAAGACTATGGCCAAAAATATAAAATAATATGCTGTTAAGGATGTAGGAAAAATGGAAATTATTGCTGTTAGTTGGAATGTAAATTAGTCCACCATTTATGGAAAATAGCATGGGGATTCCTCAAAAAACTGAAAATAGAATTACCATGTAATCCAACAGTGCCTCTCCTGGATACATACCCAAAGGAGAGGGAATGATTATATCAGAGAGATACCTGTGCCCCCCCTTTTATTGCATCACTTTTCATAATAGCCAAGATACAGAATCAAGAAAACTATTCATGGATGAATGAATAAAAAAGGTTGTATCTATCTATACTCGATATAATAATATTCAACCATGAAAAAGGACAAATTCTGTCCTTTGCAGTAACCCTGATGAAAATGAAGGATGTCTTGCTAGGTAAAGTAACTCAAGCACAGAGAGACGTAATGTTGCATGTTCTCAGTCATTAGTGGAAAATGAAAAATTTGAATACACAGACGAGTAGAAAACAGATCAGTAGAAGCTGGGAGGCGGAAGGAGGGAGGGGATGGCCCTAATGTTACAAAGCAAGTGAGCACTGCTATGACACGTAGAACTGAATTCAACATCTGCGAATGACTAGAATTAGAAAGTTCTAAATGCAGAGAAATAACAATATATGAAGAGCTGGAAATGCTAATTATCTTAACATGA